TTTATATTAGTTAATATATTATATTATTAGAGATTTATTTTAATTATATCATGAAATATTACAATTGATTAATTTTTTAAAATATTTTAATTTTTTGTTACTTTACTTTCTTATCAACTAGTTTTTGTTAAATATGATTTGTTTATCAACTATCAACTAACTTGTTAGCTATCAACTAATTTATCAGTTAGTTTACCAAACGTAGCTTAAAAATATATGACTATTTTTAGTGTCAACAAGTTTTCCGGTGCAATTTTAAGATAAAATGTCGTATTAACTTTTATAATGATATTATTGAGAAGTGTCGTATAAACTCATATTTTTACAGAACACTTATTTCTAAGTATAAGACTTCTTTTGAAATAACATCATATAAAAAGAAGTAACAGGATGTTTTATTTCAAAAACAACTAAAACTTGTTACGACACTTATAAACATCTTATAAATCTATTACAACATTTTTACATAAAATACACATTTATTTGATTTTATAAACTTAAATCATATAAATTTGTTTCTAAAAAACCTTTATCCCAATATTGTTAATTCTCGTGTGAATTAAATTAACAAAAATCCCATACAAAGATGAAACATAGCTTGTCAAACCCATCATTTAATGTGTTCGACATTTTCAAATTGTACGTCAAACAATCATTGAATAAATATACAAGTCAACGAAGTCAAAGTTTTGTCTCTCTCTTACACACATATATATATATATATATATATATATACACACATATATATATGTGTGTGTGTAAGTGTGTGAGAAAGAGAAAGTTGAGCTGTTCAATGATTAGGTATGCATCAAAACCGCGTATGACTCTGCTTCTTTGGCATCACATTTTTTAGGAAGACAGACACCGAAAGTAGCCAATTACTATCATCATCATTTACACGTGTATTTAAGCTAATTGCACAGCCGAACCACAAACACTTGTTGTGTGCCTGTGTACGTTAAGTCATTTACTAATTATATATGTCTAATCTGTAACCATCCACAAGTACAACGTGTAACATGACCATTGTATTATTGAGGATCGAAATATAATGTTATAAAAATTTAATGATCTAAATGACATGCATTAGGGGTGGCTTTGGTATGTTATAAAAAAAAAAATTCTAATATTCTTTAACAATCGATTATAATTGGTATATAAATTTTATACCACGTATCAACCAACTGTATTTGGTATCAAAAAAATTTCGGTTGCTATATACATATATAAAAATTTGCCATTGTGTTCAAATTTTACTAACATTTTGAGTTTCCAGGTATCCCATGTGATATTTTTAATGAAATTTTAGTACTGATTAAGTAGGTACAAATTTAATTTATACGGTTGGTACATATGTTGGTTTGCTTTAATTTGACAGAAAATTGCCACCCCCAATATGCTCTGCTGGTAACCTTTTTTTATATTAACCTAAATATCTAACCTGCTATGCGAGCCGACTAATCCCAGGACGACCACCTGCTTTGCCGATAGTCCAAAGTCACCGCATTTGAATCTCTGTAGCCACAAGGGGATTTTTATTCCTCTTTGGATTTGAATCATTCGCCCTTGATATCTTATTGGATAGAAAGAAAGACTTCGTAATATAGCCCAACGTTTTTTCATGATGCCAAAACACCTTTCGATAATATTTCTAGCATGTGAGTGCTTCATATTAAAGTATTACTCCTTATTAGTAGGTCTGCGAATAGCATCTTCCCATTCTCGTAAATGATACCTAGTGCCCTTATATGGTGCCAAAAAACCTTCACCACTGATATATCTTGCATCCGCCAAATAGTAATTACCGGGTGTGACTTTCAATCCATTTTGTCTAGTAACTGCATCTCGTAGAACTCTAGAGTTGGTAGCTGAACCTTCCCAACCGGCTAAAATGTAGACAAATTTTAGATCACGAGTGCACACACCTAATACATTGGTCGCAATATGTCCCTTTCTTGTTCGATATCTTGGTTATCAGACTCTGGTACAATTATTCAATATAAGTTTCATCTATTGCTTCTAGACAACCCTATACACAAAGGTAACTAGGTTTTTAGCTAAAGGATAGATGTTATATTATGTATTGTATAAAGATTGTTATAGTAAGCACCTTAAATCATTTCCATCGTGAATCCATACAATCATCTTCTATAAGAGTTGGTTGGACAAGCAACACGTCTTCCAAATGCAATATATCACGCAATACTCAACGAACATACAGACTTATTGTTTCCCCCGACCTATAGAACCTAACTTGGATAGTCCTATTCTTAGTGTGGTGTGCTAATATGTTTATAAATATAGCAACTTGCCTTTCGATTGTCATATTACCATCATTTATTAATCCACCATGAGTTTTAAGCAAATCACACAAAACTGCAAAAACATTTCTATCCATTCGCAACTCATTTTTACAATTGGTCGGGTATATCTTACACCTTTAGACTAATAAAATTGGGCCACAAAGCAAGTATACAATATGGATCAATATCGTCTTTCCAAATAATAAAGTGATATAAGTACCGGATTATCGTCTACGAGGATTGTAGCAAAAGTTAAATAAGAGTCCAATAAAAAAAAAGATTTTAGATGATTAAAATTGAAGACTTCAGGTTGATTCTGAGTTAACAAGGAAAATATAACAGAATAATAAAGGTAGCACGGGTGTAAGATTTGGAGTGAAACGTAAACACAAAATCTAGCAGGCAAAGCTGTAGAAGAACTAGTTCCACCATCTATCTTGAAGGTATTCCTCTCGGACTTCACCTTTGTACTATATTATAGCTTAGCACCCATATCTCTATGTGGTGTTCAGACCAGGGATAGTAGCAAAAAGGTGTCTTCAAGATATATGGCTAAACAAATCTCTTTGTTAAAAATCACTCTTTCGAGCCGATTCCCATATCATTCAAGTTGGCGTGTTCAAGATAGTTCATCTCTGAATCTATCACACTTTGACACTTTTAGAGAGTGACCAACCCGTCGGTAGTTAAGTTTGAAAAACATAAATGACAAGTCTCCTTGTCGGTAACTTTCTCAAGTCTACCTCTCATATCATTTAAGCTGATGTGCTTATCAATGGCTTATCTCTAAGTCCATGGCACTTTAACACTTTTAAAGTGATCAACTCGTCAAGAAGTGTGCTTGGTTTTATAAAACTTGAATGAAATAGTGGAACATTATTATTGCGAAACAACGTCCACTTTCATTTGGTTTAACATTTCACCTTTTTCCCTACACCCGAGCTAATGGAATTAGCTACTCATTACGGAAAGTAAATGACATAAATAATTGACATAAAGTAAAGACATGAATATAAATGACAGAAAGTAAATGATGAAAAATAAATGACAATAAAAGTAAATAAATAAATAACAAATAATGTTGCAGCACCTCAAGATGAAGAACAATATTTAAATAAAAACTTAAAAACTTGCATAAATATAAAACTAATAAAGGTTTAAAGTGTTTGAGGATGGAAAGCACAAGATGAGAAAATGTTCAGGGGATGATTTCTAAAGAGGCACCCAAGGTCCCCTTTTATACACACAAGTTAAACTAAAGACAAAAACATTGGAAAGGTAAAGGTACTCATGAAAGGACATAAAAGGAGACATCATCTCCATCACCAAAGGTCATCCAAAAAGTCTTCCAAAGTCCTTTACACCAGCTGTTGAGGGCAAAAATCGACGGTTCCTTAAGCTAAGACTTCATCCTTGACAATGGCTGAAGTATTAAGCACTTCTCCAAAAAGCCGAACCGGGTCAGGTCAATGCTGCTGGAATGCTGCATCATCATAGTGCAGTATTTGTAAATTAAAGATGTCATCTACTCCCAAATTGTTGTAAAAACAAGTCCATCACCACATTTAGCTCCGAACATAATAAATGAAAAATAAGGAAGTAAAAATGACTCAAGGTTGTGATAAACTAGAAGAATCTACCTATTAAACAAAGGAAATGGGTACTTTAAGCATGTAATAAACCATGCTTGTCAACAGTATACGTCGCTTTCTCGTGTAATACGTTGTATTTTGGTTGATCTAATTTGAAGTCTAGTGAAAGTTCTTTGACCCAAAGTTTCTCTTTCA